AATAGTATTGATACCTTTGGGTATACAATCCTAAACTACAAGGATATCCAAAATAGTATCATCATATCCCATCACGTAACTATTTAAAATATATTCTCTTTTGGGATTATCTAAATCTCCTAGTTATATGTGCTATTATGAATTTTATTTTATTTTATATCATTTAGAATCAATTCCATAATTTATTTTATATATTATTGATCTAGATTACTTTGGTGGCTGTAGGACCAATACAAAAAAATAAAATACAATCTAAAATATCTCATCAATGATAAGAACTTTATTGCAATCCATATTCCATAAACCTATCATCCTAAGCTAATTTGGTAGCTACCGGTTAGATAAAACTTAGGAAGATAAATTATAAATAATATTTATCAAATTTCTTTATCTTAATTCATGTTACCATTGTGAATATTATTTTATTTAATATTATTTAAGACTAATTTTATAATATATTTTATAGATTATTGGTCCAGGTCACTTTAGTGGTTGTAGGACCAATATAAAAATATAAAATATAATTTAAAATACTCTATAAATAATAAGACCTTTATTGTAATTCACATCTCATAAATCTACCATCCCAAGCTACTTTAATAACCATCGATCAAATAAAAACTTATGAAGATAAATTACAAATAATATTCATAAATTTATTTATCTTGATTTATGTTGAAGTAGTTTAATAATAGAATAACAACCATAATAATTATTCAGCATTAATCAATAAAAAAAAACTCATATGATAATCATGATAATATATAAATCATGCCTTTATGTGAAAGATAAACATTATTTTACAATTTCAAATATATACATGTGAATAACCAAATGAATATCCAAGAATAATAATTAGATTTTATTTATCACATATTAAAATATAATCAATAAGTTATATGAGAAAACTATAAAAGTAAACCATAATTTATAATTTTTTTAATCAAAAATTAAATCCAATCAAATAACCAAAATATAATCATGATCAAATTCAATCATAATTATAATAAATCATATTTATCAATTTTATAATTAAGAATATAAATTAGAATTCTCAATTTCATAAGAGTAAAACTATAAATATGTCAAAAACCCTACTACCTATGTCATCGTCGCCTACGCGTGCGTAGCCTCTACCCGCGCATGGCCATCGCCGTCGCAACGCTGCCTCTGCCCATGCGTGGCCATCGCCGCCACGACGCTGCCTTTGCCCACGTGCAGCCACTGTCGCGGTTCCTACCCGCGCGTGGCCGTCGCCTTAGCACGGCCTACCCGTGCGCGACCACCGTCGATGCACGACTACTGCTCGCGCACGGCCACCTCCTGGGTGCGGCTTGTGCCCATGCACGGTTGCCGCTTAGACACGACTCCTACATGCCCATGGCCGTCGCATGGATGCAGCCTACCCTCGTGCGGCCGTCGCATGGATGCGGGTTCTGCCCATGTGCGGCCGTCGCATGGGCACAGTGCTACCCGCGCGCGATTGCCACATGGGTGCGGTGATGCCTGCGTATGGTCACCACATGGGTGCAGTGATGCCCGCGTACGGTTGTCGCTTATTGCGTTGCAACGTGCACGCAACCCAATGCAGCCTCTACTACTAGCAAATTCGCTGGCCATACATAGCAAGATCGATGATGATCATTGTTGCATCATGATTTGAATAAAATCTTAATTATGCGTGAAAAAACTTTTATACTAGGATTGAAATCAAATAAAATTAGATCTAACAATATTACGATGCATACCTTTTATTGTTATTTAGAAGAATAAACTTTATCTGATCTACAAGCGCTCTATCATCTAATCTGAGATATCAATATGTAAGGAAATTAGATATTCTTTCTCCTCTATTCCTATCCTTTCACAAGACCACTTAGATTGATGGATTAGGGAGATTGAGAGAAAAACTTTAATCTCTCAACTGTGTTGAGATGTATCTCTATAGCCCTTAGAGGTTCTGTCTATTTATACATAAGAGCAGAGGGTCTAGGATAAGTTATTATGAGAGTTTCTCCCATCAAGGGCATCCTCTAAGGAATCCTGCTATAATATGAACTTCTTTTCTATTGGCCAATAACCATAATCAGAATCCAATCATATCTATAATATATCTTACCTAATTAAATAGTGCCACATAATCTAACATCGTAAATGTTAGTGAAAAATATCGTTGGTCTAGACTTGTGTGCGTAGGTATATCCGAGATATCTTCGGGATATAAATATCGTGCTTTCGAGGTGGATCCAAAATAACTTTGAGGTGAATTCAAGGTGGATCCGAGGTAGAACTGAGATGACTCTAAAGTAACTTCGAGATGAATCCGAGATAGATTTGAGATGACTCTAAAGTGGCTTCGAGATGACTCCGAGATTAATATAAGGTGTTGAGCTCTCGAGACACCACTTTCTAATGCTCAAATTAGTAATTCGAGATTCTAAATATATATTCTAGTAGTTCAAAAGGAGTGAGTTTTTTTTATTTTATTGTTTAAGATACGTTTTTTATGCATTGAAGAAAGAAATATAAATTTATAATGTTCTTCCTAATCATAAATGAAGATAAGAGAGTTTATGATTATTTTTTTATCAAAAAAAGTTTAAAATTATTTTTCTTATAATAAATAAGGAAAAAAATTTAAAATTATATATTTTTTATAATTAATTTTTGACAAGTTTGTGCTTCAAGAAGGCAACAATGTCCTATGTCCACACCAGTCGGCAAGAATATGTTATGCAGCATGCCAATTGTGCTATCGCCTACTACTATTCTAACGAAGATCGACTCGGTCGAAGAATCTACATGTGGGAACGGGAACACGTTGACCTCATTTGTCAAACCATATCTTCGGTTGACTTCTCAAGTCCTTTACGCGACACGTGATCGCGTCCCGTTCAAACGACCACCAACTGCAACTTAAATTACGCGGGAAGAGAAGCAGAAGAAAGGCCGGGAAAGCTACCATGGACGCCTTCCCCTTCCACGAGGACGACCATCACGACATCCACAGCTGGGCCTTCTCGCCGCTGGCCGACACCCTCGACCTCCTGGAATGCCTCCGTAGCCCGCTCGTGCTGTCGACGCCGGCCGTGCCACCGCCGCAGTCCGCCTTCGTCCGGTACAAAGCGTGCGATGGTGCGGCCATGTCGGCGGGTTCTGGTAGTATGGGTGGCGGCGCTTCAAATATCCACCGGAGAATGATCCAGTTTTGGCAGACCGTCGTCATGGGCGTCAGGATGGAGAGCTGTAAGGAGAAGACGGCAGGGAACAGCCGCGAGCTTCGGCATCTGATGAAGGAGAGACGGAGAAGGGAGAGGCTGAGCCAGGGGTTCGCTGACCTCCGCTTCATGCTATCTCACGGATCAAAGGTCTCAATCTTGTTCCAGATACAGTAAACCTAATTGTGGACCTGACATCAGAGGATGCGTATTGCAGGGTGACAAGATCTCCGTTGTTCGAGCAGCTTGGGAGCACCTGAAGGAGCTACAGCAAGCGAGGGAGAAGCTACGAAGACGCAACAAGGAGCTCGAGGTGATGATATCTGGGAACGTGATGGAAGCAGAAGAAACGGCGATCAAAGTGCAACCCGAGAGTCGTTCGTCGTCGTTCGATTCAGTGTTCTCCGCTCTGCATCGCCTGAAGCAGATGGGAGTGAAGGCCACCACCATCAGCGCCAGCTTCTCCGGCCGGGTTTTGTCGGTGGAAGTGGCTACTGAAACGAAGGTAGAACATTTCTCGAAGGTTGTGTAATCCAAGCATCACGAACAGACATTGATTGGTTTGTTTGCGTGGTGAAGGTGGTAGGAGATGAAGTGGAGGGAGCCATGAATGCATCTTTGGCTGAAGTGGAGTAGGAGCACTGCATTGTCTTAGTGATAGATCTAAAGTTTGTCAAGATAATTGCACTCTATCTTTGGCTTTCCTCAAAGACAAATCATTTGTTGTTTGAATCATACACCTTATTCCCTCTCACTATTCTAGAAAAGAAGTCTCTCATGCGTGTTTTGGGTTTCAATTCAACTCTGATCTTGAACTCAAAATGTTTGGCTTTTGACTGAGAAAGAGCCACAATTTTGACTTTCGATCAGATCATGGGAATCATCATCACAATTTTGACTCGTCTCATTTATGGCTTCTAAACTGAGCCATAAAAATAGATTACAATACCTGATATCCTCTAGATGATATACAGTAAATATGATCGGTATTTATCGATTCGAACATGAGTTTGAACTCGAAACACATTTTTTCTTTTTTTCTTTTCGGATGATCTAATATTATATATATATATATTATTTTCATAAGATTTCATACTTCTTCTCGTTCTCTTCTCCTTCTCGAAAATCTACTCTTAATATGAAATGTAATTATGTTTTATATAAGTCCTATAATTACTTTTTGAGTCTTCATCTAAACAAAATTAAATCTATTGAATCTAATTAGAGAACAAGAACCAACCTCGAAGTAGTTGACCCATGTTAGACCTCTCCAACCCAAACAAACGGCGTCGTTTGGAGAAGAGGGATCATCGAAGTCAAACCCATGTGGAAGTGCCGCTCAAATTGGCGTCCGACACGATGATCTCAAAAGCTCCATAATCTTGTGAAAGCGGTAGAGAGAATCCTTTTCCTTTTCTTTTCTCTCTCTTTCATTTTTTCACATCGAGAACTCCTCCTTCAACTTTATGCAAAGGCATTCTGTGATTCAAACAAATTTTGGAGGCTTGAGATTTAAGTATTCGCACCTCTAAAAATGTATGTGTCAAATGTGAGAAAGAAAATTTCACTGGAAAATTTTGCTAGTGTTTTTTTTTTTTAATTTTCTCAGATGATGCCTTCCATTTTTATTTTTTATTTGATATTTTTATTTTTTTTTCTAATATCATAAATGTTTATGGTTGCCATCAATATCTCCTAATATCGTACTCCTAATCATCGTCACCTCTTTCTTTGAGTAAGCATAATTGATTATTTCGAAGTCATCTCACTTTCACGAGGTCCATCATAATAGCCTCATTCTCCTCAAGAAAATATTATTGCTTTCACCTCATCGAGGCTATCATCACCCCGCTACCTTTATTTCGAAGAAAGAGACATTTGGTAACTAATATTAGAGAAAAAATGAGATACCAAATGAAAAAAGAGAGATATTATCCAAGAAAATCTAAAAAAAATTCAATAAATCATCAATTTTATTTTAATAATATTATTAAAAATATAAAATGATTAAAAAAGGTGATGAAATATAAGCAATTTAAAAAGAACATTTGATATTCTTATTATGGAAGGGTCATAGTATTTCCACCCACTTATCTCTTGATATTAATAATCAATAGTCGATTTCATGGATCAAATCGAAGGCCAATGAATGAATACTACATCAATAAACTACATTAATAGTTTGCTCATCTCTCTCTTCTTTTTCTTTATTCTTTTCATCATCCAAATTTACCATGTTGTTAAGATTGTATTACATAATCCTCATATATTTCTTATGATTTTATAATTGGATAACAATGGAATATGATGGCATCATAAAATTAAGTTTTCAATCATTAAGAAAGAAGAAAATTACTATCATTTTTTTTAATTTTTTAATATAATTTTGGGAGTCTTTTGTTGAAACCAAGATTTAGAGGCTGTTTAACCCAATTAAAGTTGATGCTTAGACAAGCTCCCACCAATGTATCATCATTGAATTGTGTAGTCGTTATCGAGTGCATCATTGTTTATCCACCAATCTCAATCTGGCTTTGAATAGAAACCTAAGTTTTCCTTTCTAATTTGATTGGTTCTTACTCACCCACATAAGACAGAAAGATAGACCAAATGTACAAATAATGGAGACATTGATTGGTTCATGGATCCATTTTCTTAAGATATTAAATAACCTTGCATGCAAATTGTGCTTTTTTATTTTGTCAATATTTTTGCATATATATATATCCCTCTAAAATTAGTGATTTTAGTGAGCATTCCTCTTGATTTGAGAATAATGTGTGTAACCATAATTAATCTTTTAGTCATCTCAATTTAATTTAAGTTTTGGATTTACATTAATATCATGTGAAACTCAATATGCTGCTAAATACATTAGAGATATTTTATATTCTTGTCTATTTTTACCCAAACAAACTAAGGTTGATCCAAACTTTTTTCAAAAAAAAAAAATTCAGATGCATTTTAAGTCAATTTCATATTTTAATTTGCATTAATATAATAAAGATATTTTAATTCTTATATATTGTTACCCAAACAAACAAATGATTCAATAAAAAATTAAAATTAAAATAAGTAAATTTTCATAAAAGATGATCTTTAAAATAATAATTTTTATATTTAGTGATTTTTTTTGTTTCTAGATATAGTATACTAAATTTCGTTACATAAATAATAGAAAAAATAAAATATCATTGAACATAAAAATCATCCCAATATTTATATTTCATATTTGTCTTGGTGAAATCTAAAGTTACCAAACTTTACTTAAAAAGTCAAAATTACACAATAATTTAATTCTAGTGTTTCTTTTACTGATTATATTTTTATTAGAACGGTTAATGAGTTGCACAAAAACAAACAAATCTAATATTGCTATCCATTGAGATTGATTATTTTTAATTACTTCTGAAAATAAATAAAATATATTATGGAATGAAAGCAAATCAAAGTTACATGTGACGTTCAATCAATTACCCAGAAAGCAGGACCATTGCTTTTGAGCTCCACCGCACTCTAGCCAATCGTTGCACGGGTAAAGAAGTGGGCGACGCCTCCCATGATGAAACAGGATGGTGTAGAATTTAGGAATACTGAGAATTCCAGGGACGAAAACGGAAAAATGGCTTTCCTTAAATTTTATGATAAACCCCCTATAATATTCAATTTAACATTAGAGTCCTGCGTCCTCGGTGCTTACTGTTCTCTCTGGCTTCGGGTATTAAAGTAATAAAGAGGAGAGGTGGAGGGGAGAGGAAAAAGAATTCCAACCCGTCGGTTGTTGTTTTCCTCACACCTTCCAATCCCACGGACGTCATCGGGAGGCCAACACCACCAGCACTCTCAGGTTCTTCCCTCCCCCTCCCCCTTCCCCCCTCTTTCCTCAAGTTCAAGGTCAGTTCCTTGATCCCGCCTCTCATCCCCTTCTCTCCTTTGCCGCCGTGGATTTGGTTTCTTCGGCTAAATATTTGATTCTTTGTTTTGTCGGAATACGTGTAATCATTGTGAACGAGACTCTTTTCTGATGTTTTGAGCCCAGTTTGATGGAAAAAATGTGATCTTGATGAATCTTTTGGTAGACTGGTTTTTGGAGGATCTGCCTGCTGAACTAGGTTCGGAGTCTAAACTTGCTGGGAAACAACATGTCTTCTCTTCAATTTCATACCCAACACCTCCAATAATTTCGATTTCGATCATATCTGGTGCTCTCTAGTGAGACAACCAGTGTGAAACCTCATCAAAATCGAATTTTTGTTTCTTTGATGTTAATCTTTAGATCTTCCTGATGAAGTGCGGTTGTGATTTGTCAGATGCGCCTGGTGCTAATAATATGGGATCTTTGAGGGTGATTTAGAGCGCTGGTTTTAAGATGGAGGAGGTGGAGAAAGCTAATAGAGCTGCGGTGGACAGCTGCCACAGAGTTCTGAGCCTTCTCTCCCAGGCTCAAGATCAAGTCCAATCGGGAAACCTGTTGGCAGGGACAGGGGATGCTGTTTCAAGATTCAAGAGAGTGGTGTCTTTGCTCAGCAACAGTGCTGGCCATGGAAGAGTTAGAATTGCCAGTAAAGTCCGATCCCCCTCCAACAGTAAGCTCTTCTCAGACAGTCAACTGGGATCCAAGATGGACCATTGTCCCAACCCACCTCAACTACCCCCAAGAAATATTTTAAAGAACAAGATACAAATTTTGGATTCAAGTTCTGGAAACCCCCTCCCAATCAACCGGAGGAGCTTTCTCGAGAACCAATTTGGGCTGCAAGCTTCATCGTCAAGTCAGTACCAGTTCCTTCCGTGGCAGCAGCAGCAGAATGATCCAAGGTTTCAGCTTCATCATCAGATGAAGCTTGAGGCTGACATGTTTCGGAGGAGTCATAGTGCCATAAATCTCAAATTTGAGAGCTCTAGCCACACACCATCCGCATCGACAACTAGGTCCTTCGTGTCGTCGCTAAGCATGGATGGAAGCATGGCCAGCTTGGATGGAAAGCCATTCCATCTGATCGGTGGACCAGCATCATCTGATCCAATTAACCTGCACCCTCCTCCCAAGAGGAGGTGCGTATGCAGAGGGGAGGATGGAAATGGCAAATGTGCAACAACTGGCCGGTGTCATTGCTCGAAGAGGAGGTGAGGTCGTGGATGTTATCTTCACTCAGGTGCTGGAATTGATGTTCTTTGCATTGAATCGAATAATAGTTACTTGTATTACCTGTAGGAAACTGAGAGTGAAGAGATCCATTAAGGTGCCTGCCATCAGCAATAAACTGGCTGATATCCCTCCTGACGAGTACTCATGGAGGAAGTATGGGCAAAAGCCAATCAAGGGCTCTCCTCATCCTAGGTATGATGCCAATACTCGTGTACATGGTTTGTTGATTTCCTTTGAGTTGCTGCAAATTTCTGGATAGATGTGACTGTGCACTTAGTTGTTTCTGGGTTCTATATATTAGTCTGTTTTAATTTATTTGCTTCGTGCAGCATATCTTAAGATGACTCAATATGCAATGCCAATCATTTTTTTCACCGATTGTCAACTTTACCTTAGTAGAACTTATAAATTGAGCTTAAATTATCTCAAATATTCTCTTTAAACTCAGTTTACTGGCTATGTTTTTCATTAGTTATCAGTTTCAAGAATAACCATTAAGCTAAGAAGTAGGCACATTTGTGCTTATAATGCAAATCGTGCACACAGTATTCTTGTCGAAATTGTTCTTTTGCCAGTCTTTGGGCAATAACAGATTGTTATGCGTATCCTCGGCTCTGGTTTTTCTCATACCAAACATTTGAAGTAGTGACCTACAAGAGCGAAAAAAATGTATCTTTCATGAAGCATACACTTTGAATCCTTTGTTAAATTTGGACTTATGTTATAGTGTCTGAAACCACTATATCTTTCATTTTGTTGTCTTTTGCAAATGAATTTTTATCTAAAAGGGGATAAATACATTTAAAATAATGCAGGGGATACTACAAATGTAGCAGTATGAGAGGCTGCCCTGCACGAAAACACGTCGAAAGGTGCTTGGAAGACCCTTCAATGCTCATCGTCACTTACGAAGGCGAGCACAACCATGCCAGGTTGCTTACCCACTCTTCCCAGACATAGAGGTCTTAGAATATTTCATCATTAACAAACGCACCCGCTTATCATCTTGCGCACCACCCTTCTTTTTGGGTGATTGTGTCGTCTCTTCATGTGGTTGAGCATGAGTTTCTCAAAGGTCCAGCATCTCTTTGTAAGTCGGGGGAGGGGGAAATTACAAGTGGCTTTCCCCCAATTGCCATTTGTAAATGCTACTGTAACAGTGCTCAGGAAATGGGTAGCTGTTGGTTAGAAGCAATTTCCCTCATGTGTCTCATCGTTCTTATCTTGGAAAAGCCTGTATATGTTTAATTAAAATCAAACTTACCAAGATAAAAATGTGGAGGAGATTCAGTCTTGGAAGGTAGCAGTGAGAATTCATGTTTCTCGAGTTCATTTTTCTTCCACTCTGTCTGTTTGGTGGATTATTCATTCATGCCAGTGCTTGCCTGCATGTTGTCCACCAGGCCACTCTTGTGGCCAAAGATAAGGGTCATGCTGGTACTTGTGATGCAAAGTGGTACCACCATGTCTCTGTAGTGAGATGCTTCTCTGCGCTGGTGAAACTTCCATGAACCTCATTCTTTCAGTGTTGTCTTCTCGGATGCCATGTCTTCCATCACATCTCTCTATCAGTACCACAAGTCTGGTGCTTCCCTTGGATTCTTCTTGCAGTCTTTGCTGCTTCTGAGTTGTGCTGGTTTCTTGTACAAACTTGTAAAGACCAACACCTTTCATTTTACATTTCAGTTAATGATGGCTGGTCTCTTTATGTTCTTCAACAGTTGTTTTGACTGTTCAAGTTGAAACACCTACAGAAGCACAAGTTTAGTGACTCATTGCATCAGTACACTAACTGGAAGCTATATGGAGACATGGAAACAGCTAAAAGTGCTCCTAGAACTCCAGGTAGAGGAATCCACAAGCTTTTCCACCACCACCAACTCAGTTCGATGGAGACCATGGAAATCCTAGTTTGATCTGGGAAGTGATGTTTGATGGATGCTTTAGAGGAAGATGCAAATATAGATGGATAATACCATGAACCATCTGAAAGCTAACTTTTCAATGTGATGAGACAAGTAAACTTGGTGGTGTGCTGACAGTATTCCCCCACCACCGTCTGCCAACTCCCATTCCCCTCTTACTCTTATCTGACATCAAGAGTTTAACCATATAGATACCTTCCAGCCTCCAATAGCTTTCTCAAGAGAAGTCGATTAAACCTGTGTGAATTCTGATGTTGATCTCACAAATTTGTTTCTTCAAGGTTCTTCAGGATGCTGGATTATTGTCAAATCCTTATCCCATCTCTCTATACACCAAAAAAAGAAAAGAAAAGAATCATGAGAGTCTCTAAATGAGATCAAACAGCCAAGGAAGAATCAAACAATCTCTGTTTTCTCTAATCTGTCAAAAAAGGGCAGGAAAAAGAGAGAGTTCTCAGTGTAGCCATAGTGAATGAGACAAAAGTTGGCCTTCTTCTGACTACAAACCATTAACACAGCTTCTGGAAGAAAGATTGTGAATAAACTAAGTTTGATTCTTATCACAGATCTTATACTTTGCTTACGGAGACTTCAAACAAGTGGATGCTTAATCCCTCTCTCCCTAACCAATGCTCCTAATAGTAGCATAATTAGAGTTGTGATAGCCAAAAAAATTATAATGTTGCTATAGACTTTTATTAGATCATGACATGCACAAACTAGCATTGAGAAGGTGACCAAATCTAAGCATGCCTATTTGACCTCATAGTGACGATGATTTCTACTTGAAGACTCTCAATTATGCAAGCAATGCCAATCTAGAGAGACAACCTTACAGCTGCATTAGTCCTCAAATTGTGCACTCTGATAATTCTCCTTCACCCTAACAAGACATCATCCAATCAAACCCAGCTACTCATGTACATGACAATTCTCTTGCACCCTACCGACACCTCTCTCCATTCTAAAAGTAGCAAATCAGAGAGAGAGAGAGAGAGAGAGAGAGAGAGAGAGAGGATTATGTTGTGACTCTCTTATCAAAAGCAGGATTAAGGAGCAAGCAATTGTCAAGGTTGATGATGGACTGCTGTCCCTTCTTTCACTACGCATACCGGCAAAGCAAACCCACAGAAGCACCCGACAGATGAGCCTGAGGTGGTGGCCCACCACGATGGCGGACCCCTGGTGGTCTCTGAGCGACGACATGTGAACCCTGACACGGACCCAGGGATGGGACCAGAAGCCACCCAATCGACGGGTCCCGCTGCTCCCGGAGGTAAAGGTTGTGGATCGCATCGAGGTTTAAGGTGGCGTCACTTTCCGGGTTGAGAACCCCTGGGTATCCTTGGTTATTCTTTCTTACTCTTAATCTCTTCTTCTTGTCTTTGTAATCAAGTCTCATTTGAAAGTTACATTCACTGCTAATCCTTATCATTAGGTCACATAATGTGTTGTAGAGCCTTTCTTGTCCTATTTTGCTATTTACTTCTACTGTTGCTGAATTCCATTTGAATTCATCATCATATATATACTATATACTTGTTTGCATGTCACCAAAAAAATGTTTATAATAGCTTTTGGGTGTTGGCTAGATGATCTATGTACTTGTTTATTGTACATAACAGCATCTAAAAATAATGTCTTTTTCATATTAGCCTTAAGGTCAAAGGAATGTGAAGACAAAGTCAAAATTGAGGGAACTCAAAGTCAACAACTTTTATTGTAATAGCAAAAGTACAATTCTCAGGATATTTGTTATTTTTCCTTGTTTATTCACCATACTAACCTACCACTATTACTATAACAAAAGAAAAAAAAGAAGTGGCATAATAATTTAGCAGATTAAAGTTACTATGTAACGGAAGATATAATGTAACGTCCGTTATTTCCGATAAGGGTTCCCGTTATATAATCGGTGGCATTTTCGTTATTTAATCGAAGTTCACGAAACAGCTTTTTATTTGTACCCATTGTTTACCCGCTCGGGAACGCCCTCCGTGATTGGAGACGAACAGCGGGGCGAAATCGTATGGGAGGTGGCTGATGGGGTTCGAATGCAGAAGGACAGAAAGCATTATTAAGCGGATTAGTTCCTTCGTCGGGGTTATTCTGGTGTCCCGTCACCGGTGATCATTGCCACCTAATATGACACGAAGGCCCCGCATTACCTGCGAAGAACTCGAACGCACACCTCGCAAGAGATGGATTGACTGCCGTTAGTTGACGGCGTCAAGAAATCGAGTCCGTATAAATTAGCTTAACAGAGCTCTGTGTCGTCACCGAGAGGAGACGAGGGCGGCGACGGCGGCGGACGAGGAGGTAGAGGAGGGAAGAGAAGGATCCCGGGAGGAACAAACGAAGGCGAGACTTCAAGGCATTGATCCCTTCCCTTTCGTTCTATCCTGTTTAGATTCTTGACACGTTTCTTGTTCCGAATCGAATGCTCGAGCGGTTCAATCTCGGTTCCTGCTTGATCTCGAGGGGACGATCGGTTTACGTTTGGGATCGTCTCTTCTGTGTACGAATCTTTTGCTAATTTCTTCTCGATCAGAGCTTTTCTGATCCCTCCTGAATCGGCATTTTGAGAATGTGCGCTAGGATTTGTTGGGGAATGTTGCTGCCGCATGGTTTTGATGCAATCTTTTGACTTCGTGTTCTACATAGTTGAAGATAATGTTTTCTTTTCCTTCCACTTCTCCGGCTTTAATATTCTATTGATCCTGCCTTCATTAAAAATTGATTTTTTAGGTCTAAGCAGGTAAGTGCAGATGTCTTTCTTTCGTCTGATTCCTCTCTCGTTTATCTCTTCCTCTCGGTTTGAATTGGTTTGCGTTAACTTTATTGCCCTCCGAGTCAGTACTTCCGATAATGTTCGCCATTGCTGATGCTAGTTGCTTGTTGATAGCTGCCAAGTTTTCTCTTTAAGAAGTTCAGTGGCGAACATCAAAAGTACCTCGATTGATTGTCAAATTGTCATATTCTCTGATTGGTCTGGTTTTTCCATGAAAGAATCAATGTAGAAAAAGAAATACCTAATCTTTTTCTAAAGTACAGGGCAGGAAAGTGACACGGAAGAAAAGAAAGATTTGGGAAAGGCGTCTTCTTAAGGTGACATTAGTTTGTTGCCGTGACAAAACTGTATTCTTCCATTGAATGCTTCAGAACTGAGATCTTTTAAATGTCACACAAAATTTGCGTCCTACAGAATCCGTATCTAAACCTTAATTCTTTGTTCAAGTTTTTGCTCCTGGGATCGACTTGCCTGCATCAGTTTTTCCTGATAATTGTCAGGGAAAGAATTTGAACCTAGACTGTCATCTTATCTTTTGTGGCGTTTGCAGGTTGGTGTAAACTAACATCTTGCTTCCATAATCTGATAAAGTCTCTTGGATTATTGATTATTTCTGTCTGAAGAGCGTTATTTTTCATTGGTGGAGACAGCGATGAATTGCTTTGGTATTTGTATTTTCTGGTTGTATACAGCAAAATATACAAGCAGTCTAAAGTTTGAAACCATTTTTTGTTTCTTTGCGGTATAGGATGATGTATTAGTATTCATTTGCTGTTACAGGTCTCTTTTTCTTCCCTCCTATACGTATGGGGTGAAGAGAATATGATTTCTGATTTTGTTTTAGATTACAGGAAACCAAAATACCGAACAAAAATTTGTGCACTAAATATTATTTTTTTGAATTGAAGATGGATTTGCTTTTCCCCTTCGAACAAAGTCCTAAGAAGTAAATTGGTTAAGACAAGAAACTGCAACATGTTCATTCACCCCCATGAAAGTCTTTATTTTAGCTGTTAGGTTCTACCTTTCTAGAATTCTAGTTTCTTTTTGACTTAGTTGTTTAATATCATAAAGAACTTTTTAATACCTCATGAATGGAGATTCGAAAGGATGCTTGCGAATTATAGAGGAATTAAAATCATTCAAATTATAAAAATAAGAATGACATTCAAATTATAGAGGAATTAAAATCATAAGCTGTACTATGAGACTTTGGAAAAGAGTTATCTAAAATAGAATAAGGTTTAAAACAAATTTATCCGAAAATCAATTTAGTTTTATGCCTAGAAGATCAACCATAGAAGCTATTTATTTATTCAGACAATTAATGAAAAAGTATAAGGAGAAAAAGAAAGATTTACATATGGTTTTTATTGACTTATAGAAGGCCTACGGTTCCTAGAGATTCCTATGATAGGGTTCCTAGAGATTTACTATGATGGGCTTAAGAAAATAAAGGTGCATCTACTAATTATATTGATGTTATTAAAGATATGTATGATGATGTAACTACTAGTGTTAGAATTATAAGGAGCGTGTCTAGTGAGTTTCTTATTAGCATAGGATTACATTAAGGATTCGCATTCAGTTCCTACTTCACATTGATAATGGATGGATTTACTAGTCAAGTACATGATAGACCTCCATGGTATATGTTGTTTGCTGATGTTATTGTTTTAGTTGATGAGAGCCTAAATGGAATTAATTATTAACTTGAGCTATTAAGGTAAGCCTTAGAAACTAAGAGTTTTAGATTAAGTAGGACTAAAACCGAATATATAAAATGTAATTTTAATGATTCTATGAATAAACATGAGAATATAGTTAGGTTGTATGGGTAAGAAGTCCCTTTAAGTAAAAGCTTTAGATATCTTGGATAAATTATTCAATAAGATGGAGAAATCGATTAAGATATTATTCATAGAGTAAAAATAGGATGATTAAAATGATGAGGGGCATCAGGAGTCTTGTGTGATCATTGGATACCTTTGAGATTAAAAGAAAAAATTTATAAGATAGTTGTGAGGCCAAAACTTTATGGATCTAAGTGTTGGGTAGTTAAGAAACCACATATACAAAAAGTTTGTCTTGTCGAGATGAAAATGTCAAGATAGATGTTCGGAGTTACTACGAAGGATAGGAAAATAAATATTTTTATTTGTAAATAACTAGGTATCGCTTTAATAGAGGATAATATGAGGAAAATCATTTAAAATGGTATGGGCATGTGTTTAGAAGACCTTTGGATGCAATAGTCAAAAGAGCTGAAATGAGTAATGCTAGTGGTATAAAGAGAAATAAAAGAAGATCTAGAAAGACTTTAATAGAAATTATAAATAAAGATTTAAGTATTCTGAGCTTAACTAAACATATGATTTTTTATAAATTGTATTAACACTAAAAGAATTTATGTAGTCAATTTCAAATAGTTGGAACTTACGACCTTGTTATTGTTGTTAATATCATAAAGGAGTCCCTGTTCACTAGGTAGCTAAGATAGCTGCACATCAAATGTCCAAATCCTTAAATAGGTAGCATTTTACTAAGTTCATGTCAGCTTTGTCATTGGTTAATTTGTGCAAGATGAGGCTAGTCTATGGTGACTAAAACATTGGTAACTATGTTATTTATGATTGCTTATTGGCAGCACATATACTAATTCCTTTCTTTCTTATGTTGCCGTCTTCTGCAGGAATTTGATCTATTAAGTCACTTTGTTGCAGATTGATGGGTAAGGAAATCATAAAAGTGGCTACGGGTGGAAAATCAGATTTAGTTGTTTGTGATCAAGCTAATGATCTTTCTAGCAAACTTTTTGCAATTGTTGAGTCAGGTAGAGCTATAAACAACACAAAGGGTGATGAGAACTCTCATGAGGAACAAGAAGTGCCTCATCTTAGAAATTTAAGTTTGGGTCAGAATACAGCAGAAAAGAGGCATAGGACCCAGAAGTCATTAGTTCAGAAGAAGCCAGCAGCATCAAGGCCTGCTAATGCTGGAAATATACAATCTCACCACACTGTTCCTCGACCATTCTCTCTTGCAACTGAAAAGCGTGCTTCAGGTGGAAATAGAGCTTTTATTTCTGAGGTAACTGGCAATGGAGACAAACCTGATGATATGCAGTCAGCAAACATCCTGACTTCATGTTGCAAATTGCATACTTTTTAAATGACTATGGAAGGACCATAAGTAGTGATATCTAATCTTGTCAAAGCCAAAAAACTTGGTTTCAATTTTATTTAAGAAAATAACTTTTCATGGTGCACAGTGCATACCTTTAAAAAATTATGGAAGGGCCACAAGTGGTGATCACTTTTACAAGTGGTGACATGCTTGAAAACATTTTATTTTCTCTTTAAATTGTTTTGAGAACCTGAATATTGGTCGATCATGAAATTAATCGTGACTGTTTGCAATGTATTCCAGAGTAACTTACCTCCCATGACTAGCAAGCCTTTGCAACCTGACAACACAATTTATCCAGACAATGAGGATTCTTACTCTGTTGCTTCGTATCCTTTTTCTAGTTTCATTTCTGACAACGTCTATCTTTTAAAGACCTGTATTAGTTTCTTAAATATTTCATAGCACTGCACTGTCTGTAAGAACTATGAGAGGCCGGACAACTGTGGCAACTGCCCCTACTTTCAGATGTAATGAGCGTGCAGAAAGGCGGAAGGAGGTACTATCTCTAGCTGCTAAATGCAATTCGATTGTTTATCATCTTAATCCACTGAATCTAAGCTCCCTTTATCCTCTCTTTTGTTTAGTTCTATTCTAAGTTGGAACAGAAACACCAGGCTCTGGAAGCAGAGAAAAACCAATCTGAAGCTAGAATAAGGGTATGCTTTCTTGCATCTATTGATCTCCTCGGTAATGGTGCATGAGAAGTTATCTTATGTCCACTGTGGAGTATGTTTATTACAGGATGTGTTAGAACTTAAGATCTCGCTAGTTACCTTGCAAACATAAAGGGAAGCTTCATAAAACTTAGACATGTGAAAACAGATCATAATAACTAGTAGACGCCAAAGCTGAATTTTATTTAATATAACACTATTACTAGGGTAACCATGTGTAGGAGACTGATGTTATTTGGATGCCCACCATGTTGTATAGACTTTCAATTGTTTACATTGAAAAGGACTTAAAATTCATACTCCTTTGCAGTGAGTAAGTACCATGGTTTCTTTTTTTACTGTCTTCTATCTCCTTATTTCATTGGCTGCATATTAGTCATGCTCATTCCAAGATGAGCACAAGTACCGCATGATGTCTCCTTTGATTGTTCTTTCCAGCATTGCACAAAAAAATTGCTCTAATCTTTGGATGCAGGAGAGCCAGCTGATTTTTCACAACATTGTGTAATTAGTATCCAGCATCATTTTGGTGATTGTAACATGCTTATTAGACATTAGATATTACTCACATTTTGCAAACACGATAAATAATTGGGAGTTACGAAGTCGACAGTTGTACACAAGATCATGCTGGCAAGTCATCTTGAAGAGGCCTCACAAAAGTGGGGGTCTAATGGACCAGAGAAAAGAAGGAAAATATGTTGTGGAACACTTTTAAGTTTGAGAAAAAAAAAAATCAAATTGAAATGTTGTATACAATCAAATTCTTGACTTAGAACCAGAATATGCTTCATAATGTTGTAAAGTTAAGATGATTCTCTATCAGGGCATGCTTATGAATAAATTCCAAACTGAACAAGTTTAATAAACATTCTTTTATGGAAAATGCATGACTTGAAGAATGTTGAGTTTTAATTCTCCTAAGTTTTCCAGGAAGAGCAAGAGGCAGCTCTGAAAGAATTTAGGAAGAGGTTGACTTTTAAGGCAAACCCAATGCCTAGCTTCTACCATGAGGGCCCTCCTCCTAAGGTGGAACTAAAGAAGGTATGTTCTTTAAGCTTGGACTCACTTGTATTTAAATATTTTTAGTAATTAAAAAATGATAAAAGCACATATATTACTTAAATGTTAAGATCTTCAAATAATACTTTTCATTTTGCTGGTGGCTGGAGTTCTGCAAATATTTTGGCAATCAACTTGGATTTGTTTCATTACTTACGAAGTATAACTTTCTAGCTGTACAGAAAGAACCAAGGAGTCTTTTTCATTTTACATCTTGAGCTATTAACGCTGAAAGTTGGATGCTTTGACATGTTAAAATTAACATTTAAGCATAATTTCATTTGCAGATTTAACTGTGGTAAAAAAATTGTCCAAGCTATTTATCTAATTTACAATAATTAGATAGTTCACACAATGCTTCATGTTGTTGTTTCTTTAATGTGTGCATTGTTATATTTTACATTGGACCTTACTTTATTTGGTCTTAATAAATTGCATAGCATGGTTTGTCTTATCGGTCTATACGGTGTATCGATCAGTTGCCGGTACAATATGTACCGAGCCGTACCGAGCATACTGAAACATGATACATGGGGACATACCAATATACCATTCTTGTCAGTCTCCTATTGGACCGATACATATCGCCTCATACTAAGCGATATGTTGCGGTACGACAAATCTTATTGCATAGTACTAATAATTTTATATGATAGATAATTCTTTGAAGACAAGAATCAACATGAGATAAAAGAAAGTACAAGTTTTAATTTCAAGAGAGAAATCAAGGATGTGGTTGAATTTGGTTATTGCTCTATATTATATTATATTATACTTGATTGTTTTTTCCAAAGGGATAACCAGTTAGCATGGTATTAATTACATAAAGCATCTTTCATGTTGTTGCATCATTATATTATACTGATACTAACTTTATCCAGTTTTTCTTCTCTAATCGTTACTCCTTTATAGCTAATTGCTTTCTTGATAATGCTTATTACTACTCTTTTGCACTGAATTCTATATAATTGAGGTAATTTTCTTTCAAAAAAGGTACCTCCTACACGCCCTAAATCACCCAAGCTCACTCGAAGAAAGAGCCACGGCGAAGCCACCACACCTGAAGGAGATAACTGCAATGGAGTATGCGGTCGGTTTCATTGTCATAGCTTGGGCACCAACATGGAAGCCACAAACAAGTTGCAGAACAGCTCCAAGAATATGAAAGGCAAAGAAGGGCTCAAGTCCAAGCCTCTTGCTGGAGTGGGGATGTGAGGTGTGCTTTTACATGCTCTTGGAAGCTTACCTCTCACGTCTCACCTCACAAAAATGACCTCGTACTATCTATCTGAGCTGATGTTTTTGTTTATTGATTGACTCTGGCTTTTGAGGACTTTGGTCACCGACGGTGCCATGTTTGATGCTGTAAATTCTGTATCTTATTTGTATACGTGTGTATCAACCTCACAGTTGCTCGGTACTGAATGGATTTGAATGGATTTTATTTGACTTTGTTATGTGAAAACCATGAATTCTATGTAAAACATTTCTTGATCATGGAGTTTGTAATCGACAGACACCTTCAACAACCGTTTTGATCTTTTAGCGTTTGTAGCATCAATTGTCCTATTGATTGTTGCATCTCATGTGCAATAATGGCTTGAACAAAAGAACCAACTTTTCTTCCGACGTAATCTCACTCTTTGATACTCATCTTAAACCAGCAATAATGCACGAATGATATCCCAAATTTCAAGGAAACATAGAAATACTTTTTAACCACAATGCTGGCAGACAAACTGAGAAAAGATTTGTTTGTTTACCAGTCTCATCATCTGATTATTAATGATCAATTTTTTTTTGTTCGCTTCAATTTGATGACTTCATTGCTATTAACTCCATCAGCAAATCGAGACATTCTTGCATGACATTAACATCAATTAGGTCCAACAAATTAGTGCAAATGAAACAAGCCATGATGATAGAGACGGCAAAATGATATGCTACGTTTGAAGTAAAATTGCCGAATGCATTACTGTAATGTGGCTACGATATCAAGTGGGGCAATCCAAAGAAAGTGATCATAGCTGTACATCTATTAGAAAAATATAAAACAACTTACATATTATATCTTCAATATTAACAAAAGAGTGGCATGGTTAACATGCTGATAGATCAGTGAATGCCAAGATGTTTATAAATTGATCCAAGCAGCAGACTGAAGAGAATTTAAAAAGATATTGTAGCCTGAAAATATTCAGAAAATAAATAACCAGTCAACCAACATGGTCAAAGATTACGTTACACTGTACATCAGCTTTGCCCTTGATGTCATCAAGTTAAGATTATGTAACCAAGAGCATTTCCTAGAGATCAGAGGAAAAAAGCAAACAACCGAATAAACTCTTCATAAGCTCTACTCCAAGTTTACTTAACTTTCGACAGGACCCTGACCACCAGACTGCCCACTGTTACACAGGTGCTGCACATGTTGTTCTGAAGTGACCTGTTTGATTGCATCGGCTACAGTGCACAATCCGTTTAACTCGACCATGATCTTCTGGCCGCACTCTCTTCTTTCTCGGTCTTCCTGGAGGCCTCAGCGATTTGGGTGGATTTACAACTATCGCAATCTGATTCTCACCATTTTGATTTGATTCTGATGATTCTTTCCAAAGACTCTTATCTGGGATCGGATGAATGGTTTGCGAATAGGTCTTCCTATAATTTGCCACGGTGAAGAAGCTCTCGGTGTACCTATGAACATTCTGTCGACATGACAGTAGTGCAGCCACACCATGAGCACAAGGCAACCCATCGAGCTGCCAACCACGACAATAGCAGCACCGGTTGCGAATATCCACAATAACGCTGCCTTCATGGGAGGAGACAACTTCAAACTCTGCTTCGTTTGCTCGTCCAACTTGATAGCCCCGTGCCCGTTCTATTGCATCCGAGACACGTTGTTCAGCTGATGGCACAAGGATCGTTGTCCACTGCATGCTAGCCTCACGTCGCTCATTGAACCAAGTCATCAACTGCCGCCTAATGTACTCCATCATCTGGATTATTGGAAGCGCAGAAGCTTCAAGTATCCAATTATTAAGTGATTCAACAATATTTGCTGTAAGGTGTCCAAATCGTGTTCCCTCAAAGTAGGACGTTGCCCAAAGACGTGGTGGAATTCGTCGAATCCAAAAGGCAGCCTCAGGTGATATTTCTTCAATTTCCAAAATCTTGGCTTCAAAATCAATTGCTATGAGAGCATGGGCAGCTCCCCAGAGGAGATTGACAAGCACAGAATTGCTGAACTCTTTGCGAAAACTCTCGCTAAGGTGGTGCATGCAGAACCCATGGAAGGCAGTGGGGAAGTTAAAGTCCACTCCATCTACAATGCCCTTCTGCCTATCTGACAAGATTGTGAGCCTAGGCATGTTCTCGGTATTGGCCTCAAGCAAAGCATGCAGTTCAGACAAAAACCATATCCAATTCTCATCGCTTGCCTCATCAACAACCCCAAAAGCTAGAGGAAATAGAGCACCATCTCCATCAAACCCAGTAGCCAACAGTAAGGTTCCCAGATATTTACTCTTTAGGACTGTCTTATCGAGACCGATCAATGGTCGGCATGCATTTACAAAACCATATATTGAGGCATAGAACGAAATGAAAAGTCGTTGAAAACAATTATCATCATAATTTCTGTAGACAGATGCAATGCTTCCTGGGTTCGTCCTCTTAATTTGTTCACAGTACTGTGGTAAGAGGCGATAACCTTCTTCAAAGGACCCACGAACTGCAGCCATGATTCGTTCCTTTCCTCTCCAGGCCTGCTTGTAAGACAAAGTTATTCCGTGCATGCGGTGGATTTCTTCCAGTATCTCCTTAGGTTTGTAGTGTGGATTCTCTCGGAGCCTTTCCTCGACAGAGTTGGCGACCCACTCAACTGATGCCTGCTGATGCCCAAGATGGTTGATTCCATTGCATGTATGAGTCTCATGGATGGTCCTGATAGTGAAATTTGGTACCCCAGGGAGCTTCGCTGCATGAATGCGCCATGGGCAACCCTCAGCAGAACACTTTGCTGTAAAGCGTGTCTTATCTGACTTCACAGTTTGGATCTCAAAGTGGCATGCGATGGCTGCATCACGTATAGCCCGGCGGCAGCTCTTGACATCGCCAAACTCCTGGCCTACAGAGAGTTGGTGGTCTGGATTCACGATCACTGCACGAGCCTGCAATACCTGAGGGACTACTAGCTGACCCTGCAACATCTCTTGTGTCAATCCAAGGGCGAGATCCTGCTCCTGATCAACGGAAAGCTGGTCCAGGTTATGGTCGACACCAAGATCATGGGTATCAGCAAGAGCCAATTCATGGTTGTCCGAGAGACCCAAGTCATGATTTTGTGCAGCGAGGGCGTCTTGGTCGGGGTCATGGCTATGCCCTAAAGCCAGCTCCTCGCCGTCATCATGGCCGTGGTCATGATGATGGTGGTGGTGCCCCAAAACCAGTTGGCTCTCATGTGAATGCCCGAGCATGAGATCATGACTGTGAGCTTGGCCTAAACCGAGGTCATGGTCATGAGGGTGCCCAAGAACGAGCCCATGCCTCTGCCCAAGGCCTAAACCGTGGTCCTCGCTGATAACTAGATCATGGCTCTGGCCGAGGGCTAAGCCAGGGTTTCCAAGAACCAAATCTTGGTCGGCCATCTAGTCCAAATCTGGCGAAAGAGAGAAGAAATTTCTCAAATCTGTCAACAGCTTCTAAAAATCCAAATACCTGGAAGAAACATAGTAGACATCAAAGATAAAAGATGAGAGCTGAAACAATTATTATCCTCCAAACATTCGTTTGCAACAACAAGAAAGGCACCAAAGAAACATCACAACCTATGGCCGAGTCACAAGCGCTCGAATCGAAACCAAAACCAGAGCCATAAAAAGAATAAAAATCCAATCTTTGTTTCCCGCAACAGAGCCAAAGATTCAAGACCAATAAGAATACCTCAACCACGGTGCCTGCCTCAGGAGAGCGCCGCCAAGATCCGAGCTTTAAGGGGACGAGACGCAGTAGACGAGTCAAGAAGACGACGAACAGCTAGGGTTCGAGATTTCGTTCACAAGGCAGAAGGGAAGAGTGGCTCCTTTCGGGGAGGAACGAGAGGCGAACGTTGGAGGAGGGCGGGAATCGGGAGGGAAGGGGAGGGATTCGAAGGAAGGGCAGAGGGATGCAGAGGGCGAAGAAGGGAAGAAGGGGAGGGCACGGGTGGGGGAGAGCGCAAAAGGGCAGAGGCGAGGAGGGGTGGCGATGGAAAGAGATGGCTGCGGGGCCGACTAAGGAAGGGGGCATTTAGGTCAACATGGAGAGCCACCGGCTCGATATTTCAAGCAATATTACATGGTTGCCCTCCCGATTTGGTTAGGGCTCCACCTGCATTTGCTGTGCTGCCCTCCTACTTCTTATTAATTATTTATTTCATTTTTATTTATTTTATTTTATTTTATTTTGTTTTATTTATTTATTTTTCTCTTTTGTTCATCCTTTTTCCTTCCATCCTAAGATGATTCTGATATCATACACGGATTATTCTCGATCCATTTGATTCACCAATTAAACAATTTGGAAAATGTATTCCACTTCCATATAAAAGGTATTTTCAATTAATATTTAATTCTTTTTTTATTATGAAGATGATTAAATAGAAAAATAAATCTTACGATATTTTGGGATATTACTTGAATATTTTATATTATTATTTGATTATATTTTTATTTTCTTAAAAACATTGCATTGCATGCAGTTTTATATCATATTTGTCGGTAGGCAAATAAAGAGATAAAAGATTGTTATTGTTACTTCATAGAATTACTTAATAATAAAATATAATTTTATTAAATATAATCTCTCGATTATTAATATCATCTTCCAAACTTAGTCTTAAATTATAAAAAAGTTAAATCGATCTAAAAAAGTTATTTCTCATCTCTTCCTCTTCGATATCTAGATCATCTCATTTGATTATCTATTTTCTTTCTCGTCGCTTATGATTAAAAAAAATAACAAAAAAATGAAAAAAAAAGATAAGAAACACAGAAGGAGTTGAAAATTTACAGAGAAATATCTCAAGAATATAAAATAAAATTATAAATAGTGAAAAGGGACTGTCAATTAAAATCTTCAAATGAATTGCTGTGGCAGAAATCAATATAGATACTGCACACAAGTGCAGAAAACTGCTGCTTCCAGATTGAGCAAATGAAACAGCTCATCAATTTATCTCAGGTTGGATCAATCGAGTCTAGTATTCATCACACTACTGCAGATTACCATCCAAGCAAGAAGGTTTGACATGGTCAGCACAAACACTTCAGTAGAATCAATACAAACTATTCAACCATACATCTACAAAGCTTCCATACCATACTAATTATATGTCTAACGAGACTAACAGGAAGATCTGATACAATATACTACACCTCATCATAGTCAATGCCGGCTGGTACAATCATCCACACGATAAAAAAAAAAAAAGAGTTCCAACATGAAAGTTTTCAGTCATCTTCAACCTTCTACCTAGTTTAAGATGCTGACTGACATCGGCACAAGCTGATTCCTAGTTCCCTTCCTCCTCTGATGAGCCCTTCAAGTAAGGAGGCTCCGTGCCATCTCCATTTTGCCGTCCTGAGTTGCCTCCACGGGCTTCGGTGGACACTGCATTCCCTGCTTCCTGCTTCGCTGAATTGGTACTGCGGCCACCGAAGTCGGAGTATACTCCAGCTGCTAGTGCCGTATTGCCTCCGATGCTGGCCTCGCCATGAAGCATGTTGAAGCCGGTGTTCCCTCCGGAGCTCACTCCGAGCTGACTGTGCAGTGCTGCTTGGTGCTGCAGAGAGGACATTGGTGACTGTGCGTACAGCATGGAGGATCGAGCCGCCAGAAGCGACTGAGGAGGAGTCATCTGCTGGGCTTGCTGGTATTGAACATAACGAGGGCCTGATTGCATAACAGTATTGGGAGGAAACTGTTGACAGAAAATAAACATGGTGAGGTATGTAACTTAGGAACTTCATGGAATGGTTGTAATCAAGTTCTAATCATCTTAACCTGATATCCTATGACATGCAGCTCAAAACAAGAAGGGGATGCAAAACTTCAAAAATTTCACCTTTGTGAAGGAGACATTACATAGAATAAGGCTAGAGCTTCAACTTTCAATTTTAAACCACTGCTAGCTTATTTTACTTTATAGATTATTTTTCCCCCTTTTGAATAAATGTCGTCTGGATGGTATACTAGTAGTGCTTGTTTTGTCTCACTGGTCTTGCAAGTAATCTTTCCATCAACTCAACTGTTAATGTTCATAACCGATTCTCTTCACACAAAGAAATTTTATGTTTGGCTTTGCAGCAATGTCAGAGAAAAGAAGGGGAAGAACAAGGTAAAAGGACTTGGAGGAGGTAATTACATGACAAAAGATTTTGGTGATCCTGTGGCTTGTTTGAAATGGTACTCCCTATCATTTCAAGGCCCAATCAATATTTTGTCTTAACAACTCCCTGTAATTGGAGAAACTTGATATTTGACTTCCCTCAGGCAGCCTCTCACCATATTTTGCTTTGCACATTCAGATACATAGCAAATCACAAATTAACTTTGTTTTGTGTACACTAATATGAACCGAAAGGTGATGAATGATACTGAACGCACACAAAAAAAAATGATAATTTCCATTATTTTTTGAAAAAAAAGCCTTAATGCAATGACTTTTTCTTTCAGTTTGTGCTTCCATGCATCTCATGATGCATGATTATTTGTTCCAACAGGGATGAAAAAAAAAATTTAGGAAGTGATAAATTTTCTGGTGAAGTTTAATGGCCTCTCTTTGACAAAATCTCTATTTATTGCATTTTTACACCAAAAAGAGTTCATCGAAGTTATACAGTGAATACAACACGGCTTATTCTAGAAACAAATAACAGTTTTGCGAAATAAATAAAATCAAAATTGATGCCATTAATTGCTATTATGTGGTTTTGTAGTTTAAACCAAAAAGGCCAGGAACAAAAATCATCTGGGAATGGTAAAACAAAGAGAACATTGATATGGTTCAACTGAGTATGGCAAAGCAAGGGTTGCTTATGCCACCGCCCACTAAGACCATATCAGTACACATGTGGAACTTGCTATTGCTAAACCTATGCTGACATATACTCAGTGCATAGCTTATGTAAGTGCAAATAGCAAAGTATCAGGATCAAAACAATTCAATTCAACCAACTCTCTAGTTCTAAATGGCAACTATCAACTGAGTTGGTCTATTTCAAAGAAATATATGAGGATCAAAAGTGAATCCTAGAATATCAAATCCTAGAGGTGGATTATTTTGGATTTTTATCTCTCAAGTTTAGTGGATAAACAAATTCATTAATTAAGAATTGAGAAAATGTACACTAGAGAATCATGACTCTTGCCTGTGGAAAACCAAGAGATGATCCTAACACATCAAACAATTCACATAAAACCAACAATCTGATCAAAGATTACCATGTTTCTTATTTTCATGAAAACATTTTCATGAAAACACAGGCTGGAAAGAAGAATTTAGGAATAACATGTTGGTGATGATGCGTACTTGAGCAAGGGTAGGAACTTGTTGTTGGCTGTCTGCAATGGCAGCAAGATACATGAGATTTCTTTGAAGCTTAGCTTGATTCCTGTAGTAGAATAAGGAGTACAACAGTTCTCAGAATATGATTTACATATGTGCACATAATAATTTTTTTCTCAAATCTATAAGGAATAGATTTACGTTATGAAAATTTAACAAGTTTTATATAAAATGAATACAAAGAAAGTTTATAACGAGGATTAGGATCCCCCATTCAGAAAATAAATGAGATTGAGAATTCGAGATCAGTACAGAGGACCAATATTTGACGTACAATAAATTAAACCATATAAAATGAAGACATCACCGGAAATATATACTAGAAAGTGTCTATCGATTGAGAAAAAAAATGAAATTTGTAAAAAGACCTTATAATACTCCTTGAGCTCCATATTATGACTACTACTTGATAGCTTTTTTTTTGTTGTTGTTGTATAAATGTATGACACTGTAATCTTAATAATAAGAAAAATAATAGCAAAATGCACCTTTGTTTGTAGCTACTGCAAATGAACCATAAATTAATAGAACTTTAGAAGTATTTAATTCACCATGAAAAGAAAGTAACTAAGCATAAAATGGAACATCACAAGAACCATATAAGACTGTTTCATAATTTTCGGTGGCATTCACACCCCTGTCCATGTCATACCCAAGGGATGTAAGTATTGATCTGAATCATATGATTGTATTTTACATGTATCACAGTGAACATCTCTGTTGCATATTACCAAGGTTTTGGACTTACTCAGCACATTCGTCAGCTTTGCCTGCATTTTGATTGTCCAGAATAGCCAAAATCAACTGCTTATTCTCATCCAAATACTGCAGAACAAAGAGGCAAATAGAAAATCAAGATTTAGATGGCATTTCATACCACAAATTCAACAGCAAACTGTACAGTCCGAGGCCTTCTTTTGTCATTGAGCTATCTTGAGTTGTCATAAGCATGGCTTGTTAAGCATCGATAATAAGAAAAGTTGCTTGAGTTAGATAAATTAAATTATGGTAGGGACATATATGCATTGCAGATAATTAAACAATCGTTTAAAATTGTATAGAAAACATTGTGTATAAGCATACAAGCATGTGCTTGTACAATGTAATAAGATACATCTGGGGAAAGTCCATTTATGCAGCCTTACATTATACTTTTCAAGCATGATATATACACATCCATGATAGATATGCCGATACGATATAATTATTTACATTTTACTATAATTATACACCATAATTTGTTGCCTGATGGCTATGTAAAGCTCAAGACATGCATTTATGCATTACATTTCAACAATGTGTATGGGTGGTAGGTTCATTCATTTGACCATGATAAATGAACATATGGATATTGATATCCATTATAAATCATGGAAGATAAAACTTTGTGATAATGGTGTGGCTACAAGTCAAATTATTCTATGGGATGTTATATACATCTTAATTTCCATCATCTTGCTCATCCCTATTAATAAAATTCCTTCCCATAAGAATAAAACTTAGACTTCGTGATTGCACATATAAAGAAAAATATAACTAACAGAACAAGATATATGGCAGTACATTGGCAAAATAATTTCTTCAACTTATTCTATAGAGCAGAGAGTGGTGATCTAAGAGACAATCAACAATATTTATGAGATCTTCTTTAAACTAGTCAACTGATATTTAAGCTGATCCACCATCTGGCTGTCGTCCTTTTTCCTCTAGTTTGAAAGGGGACTAAAAGGCAACCAGGCAAGAGCACCAAAACTCAAGAATATATGTTGTAGGACCAAAGAATGAAACCCATTTTCCCACTAAAGAACTACTACAAGCCAACTTACAAAGATCTAACAAAAATTTGTCCATTATTCTTCTCTAACAGAGCAATCCAAGGCCTCTCTTAACGAAAAAAACCACCATCATTGTGCACAAATAGCAACAACCAGCTAGAAATTCTAAATGACCAAAAATATTTGATAAAATCCACCAACCAATGAATCATCAACGGACCCTGCATAGAAGTCACCCGAAAAGCACAAGCAACCCATCCAAACACTATGCTAAGAAGCCGGAACAGGAAATACAAGAAACTCCTCTGCCGAAAGATCATTAGAACACCATTTACCAGCCTAGAAATAGCTTCAAGATTGAGATGCATCAGAACAAGAATGCTTAGCCGAGCAACAAAGAAGAAGAGAAAACCATCGAGCAGAGGAAGAGATAATTTCACCACAAGAAGTTCTCAAACACCAAGAACTCCATCAAAGATGCACCAAAACAGACATTCTTGATCAAGCATCCGAGACTACCACATACCATTTTCTCAGTGAAACATTAACGCATGCAGGTTAAAGAATAAACACTCTTTAAAGAGCATCACACTGCAAGAGCTCAACCAAGCAACCAATAAGACTAGATACCCATTTTCCACTAAACCGTCGAGGAACCCTAAGCTCAAAGAAACAAAACCAGCGGCCTGTACCAAATGCACCACCAGAAAGAAAATAACATTCACCAATATTAACTGTGACAAAAACTCACATTAACCATAAGCAACAAGAACAAGATCAACAACCACTGTATCACAGAACCGGGGCAGAGAAACTGACGGAGTGGGAGAAAAGGAAAACTCGGTTGAGGAAGAGGGGATCAACGGCGCACCTGCTGAATGATATCAGTGGTGACTTGATTTGGGGAAGCATAGGCTGCCATCATGGGCTGCTGCATCTGCATGAGGTGCTGCTGCATCTCCCAAACCCACCCTTCCTTTCTAGACACCCTCACTGCTCCTCTTTTAGGTTATATATACATGAAAGAGACAAGCAAGAAGAGATGAGAGGGCAGGGTGGTGTCTTCTTCAGCTTGCTTGGGGCTTTCTTCAAGCCTTCTCCCTCCCGTGTAGTTGCTGTCAAAGGTTCCACTGACCGCCTCCTTTATTTACTTTAAGCATGAAGCTTAATCCGGAGGAGTGATAACCACAGGTCGGTGAATAAAGATGAGAGGTGACGATAGGGGCGGTGAGGGGAGATAGATTCCATCGGTCACGTGCGAGGCAGGCGAGGGTGGGGGGCCGACAGGGAACCTACGAACTGGGAAGTCTTCGGACCACACGCATGGACTGTCGGAACCGGTCGGACCGGGCCGGTCGGAGGGTGGGTATTCAAGTGGATGCATGTCATCTTCTCCTTGTTGTGTTCTTGCCTTGATTTGATTCCACCATCACTTGCGTTGCAGCTGGGGACGGGGAGGTGGATGGATTGGCTTGCACTGGATTGAATTATTTGGGATTCAGACACTGTTCATGGGTTATGTTTGTGCATGGCTGTGTGCCTTTCGCAGGTCCAAGAACATGTACTGCAAACCCCCCCGTTCTTGTTTCGTGCTTTGAATCTTTCCTTCAAAATGGAAAGATGGGTGGATTGAATGATTTTGGCTGCAGTCACTGTTTTGTGCAGTACTGCTTCAAAATGCACTGCAAGCGGTGGCCACCGGAGCTGCCCTCAATCAAACATTTAGGTGGAAGTGAAAGACGAGGGAGGGGGCAAAAAAGTGAAGGAGATGCTCCCAATTCCCCAAACAAAGGAAGGGGTTGCTGGGGCTCCCTATGGGCTGGCCAGATGTGATGGGATGAGATGGGATTGGCATCTTATATATCCCAGCTTGTAG